GGATTTATGTTTTTGTTATAATGTTTATTGAGAGATTATTCTCTTATTCTAGAACTTGATTATCGTTTTAAGTCGTTATTGGTGTGTAGGCCAAAAAATTGTTAAATACTTTCTAAACCAGTGAAATGTTAGAATATCACAACACGTAATTGGACGAAAACATGTTTCCTTTTTGTGCTTTCTTATTTTGTAGATCTCAAGCTAAAGTCAGTTCTTAATGAACTTTCTATATAGCCTGCTTTTGATGTTCATAATCATTAATGAAGAGAATTATTACTATTTACTACGGCTAGGCCAACGATAGTTACTTCAGTTCTCAAAGAGTCAAAAAACAAGAAACAATCTGAGAATCTGTTCAGCTAAGGTTACCAGCCAAGCCTCACATACAAATTTTAAGCTGATGAGTTGTGTGGAAGTAGCCTTCCCACTAATGTTAGTTTAACTAATACAACATTTCATTTTCTTCCTCTTTAAGGTATCATCTACATATCTTAATGCCTTAAGTAATTTACTTGAAGGAATCAGGTTATATTACTGAATTATTATCACCGTGCCTATCCTTCGTATGACTTTGCCTGCACATTTTTATATCCATTTTTTTTCTTGCTATGGAGGCATTTATTGAGCTGCTTTTCTGTACACTGTCTAATAGAATCAAAATTCCGTTTCTCCTTTTTCCCCCCTTCTAGGATTTAGATTGTCTTCTAAAAATAGGCATACTTTCTGAACAAAATACTTCTGGCTTTTCCAAACCTATGTATTTGTCTTTTTGACAGTACTTTCTTGTTATTTAGGCTATACAATATAAGAACGCCTCAGCCTTGGCAAATTATGAACTAGTCGAGGTCGTGCGCGTTTTGCTTGGTAAGCTGAACTGACTATTTCCTCAAGATTTACGATGAAATTTACTCCTGTAGATTTTTTTAAATAAATCTTCTATCATTCACTCATGTCTATTCTCCAGGTGTGATGTTACAAATATTTGTTATTGTCACAACTAACACTCTTGTGCAAAACATGTCTCCTCCCAAAAGGGCTTCTTGAGCTGAAATACCAATGGTACATTGACTTCATTACAATCTGATGGGGTTCTTGTTCCGAGTATTGTTACTGACAACTGCTACCGTACTATGTCTTTTGGCCTTCAAGGTTTCAATTTTCAAAGAATTCATTTTCAGGATTAGTTTTGAAATTTTAGATTGGAAGTATGCCTTTGTATACTACTGTCAATCTGTGTTCACCTCACTTGGTATTGAACTGTGGTATTTATCCATCAAGAGCCTGCTTTGTTGTTTGCACCAGTTTAATCTTGGCTAAAATGCATATATATCATTAAAATCATTTTGGCGTCACACGAAGTGTTGGAACATTTTGGCAAGCGGAGCCAATGATGCCATCTACTACCTGAATCTTTAAAATCATTGTCAGGGAAACGTCCATCTGTCGGCAACGAGGAGACGAGACGTTAAATAATAAAAGAGATAATTACGGCAGATGTTGCAAATTCTCATAGCATGCATAACAATGCAAAATTATTTTAATTGTCGTAAACATGAAATAATCTATGTATATGAGATGTTGAGACTGCAAGTCCATATTATATCTGTAGTGCTACTAGATACTCGTATCTCATGCTTTATGCCCAAATCCATGCAAAACCTATCAATGTATGTGATGATCTTCTAAATGAGTGATCCACACTGTGCACATGGATCCCCCTATCAATAACATATGTGGATTAAAAAAAAAAGAAATTATTTTGTTAGGAAGCACCTTATCCACCCATCAACTAGGCTATTTTGTTATACATTATAAAAATTTCATTATGCAACCTTGACATAAACCATCAGAAACATTCAGCACAGTTTTCTGTTTGTGCACATTTGGCACCCTTGAGACCACAAGGCTTATCATCCTCAAAACTGTTGATCTGGCCTCTTCTCGAGTTCAAATCGCCAATGATGTCACCCAAATGCTCTTCTGGGGTAAGCAGCTTCAACCTTCATAATTGGCCGCAGCAGTTTCAGGCCTGCCTGCATTCGCTCCTTAAACGCGCCTTGTGCTGCCAATTGAAGTGCCAAAACACTTGAATCCACATCATGATAGGATCCCTCGACTAAAGCAGCTCGTACATCGACGACTGGGGTAACCAGTAGGAGCACCATTGCTCGTGCATTCTTCGAGTCCTTCGATAACTCCAGGGATGTACTCCTTAGGCACTGCGTCAGAAGGGATGGGATTTAACAGATTTGCCATTATATCATCAAGTTCTATTGGATTCGTCTCCGTTTTAATCGGAGAATTATGTTATTCATTCAGGACAAATTTTTAAAACCGACTTATTTTGAATTTTATTCCCAAAAACAGACCCATTTCAAACTTAATTTCAAAAACAGACCTAGTTGGATGAAACTTTGTCGGTTTTTAAAAAAAAGTTCCCAAACTTCACGGGAGTTGAAGTCCCGTGAAGTTTTTTATATAACAAAACTTCACGGGACTTCAACCCCGTGAAGTTTGGAATTTTTTTTCTTCAAAAACCGACCCAGATTCTGTCCAACTAGGTCGGTTTTTAAAATTAAGTTTGAGACGAGTCTTTTTTTGAGAATTTTTTGACAAACAGGTTGGGTTTGAAAATTTGTCCTATTCATGCATGCACTATCTTAGTAGATTTTATTAGTAAGTCATTACTAATGATGTTTGACGTTATCCAAATTCCAATTGCGAGGGCGTAGGCACATTCGAGCGATTTTACCATCATATCGTGTATTGCAACTGCATGGGTGAATGAACCGTTAAGTTCATAGACCGTTAGGAAAATTGCACAAAACTTCTACATGTAGCCTTTCTACTATCATAGATACTAGTCGTGAACACCGTGCAAAGCACGTCATATCATTTTTTTTCTGCTACAATAATCCCGATTTTTAAATGCTACGATATTTTTAAATTTTTTTTGGGTTGCTACAGTCCCGACTTTGCTACAGTTTTAAGATGTTACGGTATTCCAGTGTGCTACAGTGATATTTTTCTAAAAAATTTGCTACAATATCCTGTTTCATGTTTGCTACTGTATCATGAATAATGAATCTTGGGTTCTCCCATTTGTATAGAGGAGTAGATATACTCTATGTTCATCTTCTTCGTCTCTTTTTTTTTGTCGGTTGGCTTGAACAAAGTTAGTTGGTACCAATTCACGTAAATATCAGGAGGCAAAAGGAAGAAAAATAGGGAGATGAGGTTGTCACATAGTATGTGCAGGTCGAGAGAGAATTCCCAAACGCAATAAGATGCCTTATTAGGCATTACATAATTTTCTTAAGGAAAATAAGAAAATGAATTGGATGCCAGCTTAAAGCGAAAAATGCCAGATTAAAGCCAAAAAAAAAAAAAGAATTGAAGTGTTGCATTAGTCAAACCCACACAAGTCAGAAGGGCTACTCCCATATCACTCATCAGCTTGAAAAAAAGTTGTGTATGGAACTTGGTTGGTAACCTTAGCAGAGGAGATCCTCAGAATGTTTTCGTCTTTTTCGAGACCCCAAGGAACTGTAGGGGGCCTGCCCATAGTAAATAGAAATTTCTTTAAGAACTGACTGATGCTAACAAGCGACGCAGGTTGCTTCCCCCATGAAGGGGATCTGAATTCGGCCACATTTGGAAAATGCCGAGTTCAATGGCTTCAGAGAGAGTTCGTGCTCTCAGACCTCACTTTCAAACACTAGCCTATGGACTTGGAAGTTGTTGGTCAAGCGATGATTATGTGAGCTCTCAGCGACTGAACTTTAAGGACAGAATGAAAGCAAGGAGAAAAGCTTCACTGATCTGCTTCACTGAGACGCGAGAGAGATCTACTTAGTAGAAAAGTCACAAGAAAGGAAAGACTCATATTTTTTTTAAAGTAGAACAATCTCTCGATGAACATTATCAGAGCACATAACCGCATAAAATGTTTTTTAAACGACAAAGTTCAAGAACTTGTTACCTTGGAAAACAAATCAGTTCTAGCAGCAGATGCAACTGGGCCATCCATGCTCCTCAAATGTCAATCTAATAAATTTGTAGAACTTCAAATAAGTACATGCTCGTCATGTCAATATAAATACAATTGGAGACTTTCAAATACATACTTTAATGCACAATTCAAAAGCGTCGACACCACCCTAGTGACTCCTAACACTGGATGCGATGAACTGGCTGAAGGAAATTCATAAATTCCAGCAAAGAAAATTGCACGTATACAAATAATTTGACTAGTTTGCTGAGAAGCTACTTTCAAATAAATAGGAGGCATTTCCTGGCAAGCCTCAAAATTGTTTTTTCACATTTTTATACCTGATCTAAAACTTGAAGATCAAAAGAACAAATTGTCGGTTCAACAACAAAACCCTTTGTAAATCTAAGCTGTAACAGCTTCCGATTTTGACGAGAGCTGGTTCTGGATGTCTTGTGGGACAACATCAAACTGGGCAAGCTGCATTGTGTAAGAAGCGCGTCCTTTCGTCATCCCACGAAGTGTACTCACATATTGGAACATTTCAGCAAGCGGCACCAATGCATCAACAACCTGCATTTTAAGAACATTATCAAGAAACACCCATCTGTCAGCAACGAACGACGAAACATTACATAATAAAAGAGGTAGTGAATGGTAGAGGTTGAAAGTTTGTGAATTTGTTTGGAATAATATTGTATTCGTTTTTGTGCGAAGTCATGAATTTCTTGATAAATTTATGGTGTATTTTCCTAGAATCATGATTAGATAGTAACATTTGATAGCATATATAATAGAATAATAGTTTAATAATGGTAAACGTAAATAGTTTGTACATCTGTTATCCTGAGACGACGTGTCTGCAGATCTATACTGTATTGCATCCAATACTTGTATCCAATACTTGTATCTATACTATATTGCACCTAATACTTGTATCCAATACTCATACCCATGCAACCTAGTTTCCATCCATCAAAATACGTGATGGTCTTCCAAATCAGTGATCCGCACCGTTCGCTTGGATAACCATCACAAGAATGTATGTGGATAAAATTTTATTTTGCTAGGAAGCACATATAATACACCCATCAATTAAGCACGCTTCTTGTATAGCACTGTTCATTTTCAACCCCTAGATGAATGAACGGAATATTTGGAAAACACAATTTCCTATTTATGTACATCTCTTAATGAGCATGTAGTGAGTGGCATGGATCTACAATGGAGTGTTACACTACATAATTCAGTAGGATGAGACTAGAACTTAATATGATAGTAGGATGGGAATAGAACTTAATATCGTTCTTATAGGAACAATAAAGCCCTACGCTTTGATAAATCACGATTCATCTAAAAAATAATTCAACTTTAATATTCTACTTGAGCTAACTAGCGATGAATGATAGACTTGATTGTGTAGTTCTTGATGCAATAGACAGCAAACAAGATTACTATCAAAGGGTTTATAAGGCAAAATAGGAGAAATAACTGAAAAGAGAACTCTTTGAGCCGTACCTTGAGACCGCCAGGCTTATCCCCAAAACTATTGATCTGGCCTCTTCTTGAATTCAAATCGCCAATAACATCACCCAAATGCTCTTCTGGGGTTACCACCTCAACCTTCATAATTGGCTCCAGTAGTTTCGGACCCGCCTTTCTAATTCCCTCCCTAAAAGCACCTCTTGCAGCTAGTTGAAATGCCAAAACACTTGAATCCACATCGTGATAGGATCCATCAACTAAAGCAGCTCGAACATCAACAACAGGGTAACCAGCAAGCACACCATTGCTCATGCATTCTTCAAGTCCTTTCATAACCCCAGGGATGTATTCTTTAGGCACTGCTCCTCCCTTTATCTCGCTCTTGAATTCATACCCACTGCCTGGCTCCAATGGCTCAAACCGAACTGTGATGTCAGCAAATTGCCCTTGTCCACCAGATTGCTTCTTGTGGATGTACTGAACTTCTGAAACTTTCGAGATGCTCTCACGATAGTTAACCTGAGGTGCACCTACATTTGCTTCAACCTGTTTCATAAAATGAGATCTAACATGAGTACATGAAAGTGACGAGACATGATCCACTATTCATATTCTCCTTTTTTTAACTAAAGAAACCATTTATATGCCTGATTTGATAGTCTCCCCCATTTTTAAGTTTTCATAGTTAATTAAGAATCTCACTCCAAGGATTTGTTGGTTGGTAACCACCAATTCATAGAACATAAAAACATTTCTAACATAAATTTGAGCCATATGTTTCAGGCTTGATTACTCTTAGAATTATGACTTAATACCTAGTTCAACATTGGTTTAGGAGCACACCTCAGGAAGCATAGATCTCCACAATGATGATAACTACAATTTCATGTAGAGTTATCAGTTAAAGTGCATACCTTGAATTCCCTCTTCAGTCGATCAACGATGATCTCAAGATGCAGTTCTCCCATGCCTTCAATAACAGTTTGGTTGATCTCCTCATCTCTAGAAAAGTGAAAAGATGGGTCTTCTTGAGCAAGTTTAATTAATCCATTTGCCATCTTATCAACATCAGCCTTGGTCTTGGGTTCTATTGCAACTTTGATAACAGGATCCGGGAAGTCCATTCTCTCAAGTACTATGGGTTTTTCTGGATCACACAGCGTCTCTCCAGTTATTGTATCTTTGAGACCAGCAAGGGCAACAATATCACCAGTCAAGGCGAATTTAACATCTTCTCTACTATTGGCATGCATTTCCAGTAGCCTTCCAATCCTCTCTTTCTTATCTTTGTTAGCATTGAGAACATATGAACCTGCAGCCAGCTTCCCTGAATACACTCTGACAAATGTAAGGGATCCTACAAATGGATCACTCATGATCTTGAAAGCCAACCCAGCAAAAGGCTCATCATCACTTGGGCTCCTTTCAAGGCTAAGTTCCGGATTGTCAGCATCAGTACCCTTCATTGGTGGCAACTCAATTGGTGAAGGCAAGTAATCTACAACGGCATCGAGCAATGGCTGAACACCTTTGTTTTTAAAAGCCGAGCCACACAGAACCGGTACAAAACTTCCTCCTATGGTGCCTTTCCTAATCAAACTCTTTAGGGTTTCTTCATCTGGTTCAATACCTTCTAGATAGCTCTCCATAGCTTTGTCATCAAGATCAATAACAGTTTCAATCATCTGGGTTCTGTAGTCTTGAGCCATATCTTGGAGATCTTCAGGTATGTCTTCATATGAAAATTTTGCACCTAGTTCTTCTCCTGACCACACAATAGCTTTCATTTTCAGCAGATCAACTACTCCTTTAAAGGTATCTTCAGCACCAATGGGTAGTTGAAGAACAAGAGGTTTGGCACCCAAATTCGTGACGATCATGTCTCTTGTTCTAAAAAAGTTAGCCCCGAGACGATCCATTTTATTAACAAAACATATTCTAGGAACCCCATATCTATCAGCTTGCCTCCACACAGTTTCAGACTGTGGCTCCACACCAGCAACACTGTCAAACAAGCATATAGCACCATCTAAGACCCTAAGTGCTCGCTCCACTTCCAGTGTGAAGTCGACATGGCCAGGAGTATCGATGATGTTAATTCTGTGATTGTTCCAAAAGGTGGTGGTTGCTGCAGAGGTTATAGTGATTCCTCTCTCCTGTTCCTGTTCCATCCAATCCATTGTCGCTGTTCCCTCGTGAACCTCCCCAATCTTGTAATTCCTTCCAGTGTAAAAAAGTATGCGCTCTGTGGTTGTAGTTTTTCCAGCATCTATGTGAGCCATAATTCCTATGTTGCGGTAATCCTTGAGTGGTATTTGTCGTTTTGCTTCTGGAGAACAAGGGTCAAAATATTGACAACAGAAAATACTAGTATCTTTGAAATACATGCTCTCATTCTAGAACATTAAATAAAAACAAGACGCAAACTACTTGTTGCATTCTCTACTATTAGTATTCTGCTTATAAATTTGAAGCACACTGGAAAACATAAAGCAAATATAATCATGGCTAACTTGCCATAACTACTAAGAGAAAAATGCGGTGTCAAGTTTTGATGGGAAGCAGGACAACATTCTAATTTGTGAAAAATCATGTTTGCAAGGAAGTATATACCGTACTACAGGTAAAAACAATGTGTAAGAATAACAAAGGGCATTGATTGTCCAGCTCACCGTGGATTGTCTCCTATTAAAGTAAATGAATTTCTTATTTAATTTTACTAATATTT